AATTACGGTTTCAGTATGACGTCATAGAGTATATATCACTCACGGTTTCACGCCTCATGAAACATACAACGGTTATCAAGATCTGAACCGAGACATCACAACGTCTGTAAGATGACACGACATTAATACTCTGAATGCAGTCGATAATCATTAGTTTTACCAATAAACGGCAACGAGTGACACTTCAAATGATTTATGGAAAATAAGGAAGTACATAATCTCGTAGTGCCGAGAGTGTCGCGAAATGAAATGCGTGCCCAAGTACATATACGAGAGACAGAGAGTATGTAACAAGGAGGAGGCTGTCATGGCAACACGTCACATAATACACCCTTAAGCAATTTTTGATGTTAAAAATGAAAGAATAATACACTGTTTATATTTCGATAATTTGAATACGTGATAACAATGTGAGTATGTGACATTGAAGTTTTTATTTGCATATATCGCCATACTACAATACGCAAATTGGAGTAATCGACGAAGCTACTCGCTTTCAAACTAACAATGCAACATATGGTACTGTCAGTCTGTGAATTTTAAAATCGGAAATTTGCTTTAGGTATTATATGATAAAAAGCAGATAATTATAAACGTCACGTCGAATTCGTAGTCAGAGATTGACATAAACCATGTCGATCAATTGTGGAAGAACGAAGGAAATGTTAATTAAAAATTTTGGCTGGAAAGATATACACTTTAGGAGAAAAGTTTTACATTCAGTTGTGTCTACCATTATGCAAAACCTAACACGTAGTAGCGTTACTTCAACATGAGAGGGGGTCGAGCACTACCACTTTCTTTCTTATTCTATCCTACCGTCTCCAGTAAAATTCACCGAAGTAATTATGACATCAAGTACTATCTTTTTATTTGTGAAGTAGCTGAAATATTCAGAACCCGCAGTCTCACTGAAAGCTGTCGAAACTGAACATATAATTAACAAATATATACAAAAGTGTCTCATCATTGTCATGGCAACGCTGGAGGGTGAGGCTGGAGGGTGATAGAGGAGATGTATATACGGTATAATTGCTGATTTTCCATTGAAATTCGAGTTTATTTTCATTACAGTGAGTGGTAATGTTAAGCTTTTATTCGATGTTAGTAAATAGTATCTGAAAATAATATTTTGGTTTTAGTAGGATAAAGTAAAATGATGTTAAACTTTCCAGTATGCAAGTGTTCGAAAGGAGACCGTCGGTCGACAAAACCTCCAAATTGTTAGGTATACCTAAGGCGTAACGAGCTATAGTACGCGTTTAGTGTAATAATGGCTGTGTGTGCGTTTGCAGCTTTACGTTTATGTGCTAGTATAAATAACCTAGTTTCTTTACGGAGTAAATATAGTGTGTGTTCGAATTTTGTCACAATTTATTTTACGTACGTTGTATACGTCGCATGGGACCCACGTCGAACACGACGCGTTGTGTCTGATGTCATGTTGAAATCAAAGTTATACTTGTTATGTGCTCGCTGTGTGTACACAGTGTTTTATATTCACTAAATGGCGGTGCCGATAAATCAACGTCGTCCGTCTAAACAATTTCATGAATTCTAAATTGACTGTTATCGATTTTCGCAAATTCATTTGACTTGTCATCGTGTGTGAAACAGCAGATGATCGTGACAGGTTGTCATTGGATGAAATGTGATCACGTGAAGCAACGCCCAATGTTATTGTACTCTCATTTTCAGTTTAGTGTCACGTGAATACCAATATATACTAGTATTCAAGTACATACAGCATGTCACGTGTTTTATACTGGGTTGTGATTGAAGTGGTTAGGCTTTGCGTGTATTATATGTGCCGCACCAAAATACAAGTGTATGCAAATTAACTAATTATTATGCAAGGTTTGTACTAATGTTGTACCACTGGCACCAAACCGGTATCTACCGACTCATTAATGCTTTTTGAATAATTCGATGAGGTGGTAAATTTAAAACACCTTGCCTAAACACTATTATTACTATCTATTATTATTATTGTAATTTTGCTCACTTAAATATACCCACATTCAGTAATTTCCATGGAAATTAGATTACCTATTTAGATGTTAAAATTACCCATTTGGGTGCCACGTGCCTTTCGTGTGGGAATATGTCTGGTATACAAATGCACACATTAATATCTATGGATATGCACGGGTTGTTCGATGAATTACATTCATGATTTACACCCTGGCACATCGTGTATGCGCATGCTCAGTCGCTGTGATCTCATAAACACACGCCTAACATGTTAAATTGATTATGAAATGAAATATAGCGTCAGAAAACTACCGCCAGATGTCGTACAAACCAACTAAATGAAAAGATTCCCATAAGACAGTTCCATAACCGGCGTTATTCTAATTACATGCCAGCTTTGTTTGTAGTTCCGTTTCTTGGCGTTGACTGGAAATCTATCAATTTCCGTTCGATACTGGACAAGAGAATATCACTATTTTTAAAGTTCGTGGATATATACCCGGATGCAGCTGGTGTGATTCCATTCAGACCAGGATGGAGTGACAATGAGTGCATGGAACTGGCACATGATCGGAATTTCCGTATGTGGGGGGGGTAATAAACAGAGGCGATGATAATGACACATTTTCAAAATACATGCTTCATGTCTCACACGGGTCATAGGTTATTTTGTTCAGAGATAAACCCCGGGTCACGTGGGGATTGCAATCTGGAGAGGTGATGTGACGTATTCATATTTAAAAACTTTGAGGTTCCAACCCGAATTTAGACTGTTCATACTAAATTATTGCTGCAACCGATTTGGTTTGACATGAGCATTATTACAACCAATTATTATAAACATATAAAAGCACAATCAAGCCTTTGTATCAGCCTCAGATCAACACAATATTTGTACACTTTATAGCCATTATCATTTATATGGATTACCAAAATAAAATAAATCATAACGGTAACCTGGTTCTATAATTGTCCAGACATGAACGATATTATATTGACCATTCAGTTAATAGAATCACAACTAAAAACCACTGACGTCCATAGACATTAGCACAACAGAAAAACTAGTAGATTTTGGTCGATTATAACTGTATTTTAATTGGTTTGTGTATTGTTTTTCACATTTATATAATCACTAAATATATTGCAATATTGTTATATTTTATAGACTTGTTTTCCAGATTAAATATGAAGCGCATATATTTTAGGATTTTAATATCAATTGGAAACAAAAGGTGAATTGAAAATGCACTTAACACATACATTTAGGATTATTTCTCACGCCACTTCGCAATGAAAGGCTTACTGTCAATCGGTGGGGTTGCAACATTGCATTGTGGGACGACATTGTCTGCGACATCTATTCATCGCAAGTGAGGATGCAGAGTTGTTGGGTTAAATTAGAACTTCCCTATAACGGTAAAATAATTGTGTCGTTTGCAAGCACACCGGGTGCTGCAATCAATGTGACATCCGGGTTACCTCTATTGGAAAGCTGTATAAAGCAGTGTCGACAAATTATTTCGATATTTGAGTCAAAGTGTCTAGAATTGGGTTTACAATTTCAGTATTCATTACTGAAATGGTAAACTATTGTTATGGTTTTATAGTCAAATAACATTGACGTTTTTTTAGAATTCCTGACGTATTTAAATCTAATTTAGAGTAACCCTCCTTGAAATCTTCCCGCGTTGAGATATTGACACCAATTGAAATATTGATAACAATCATTAGAAATATAAAATTAATTAGTTTTTTTT